CATCTGCAAACTTAGCAACAATTTCGCCAGGTCCTTTGTCCAGATGATTAATGTATAACATGAATAGTTGTAACCCCAAACTGGTATCTACCAAACTCCACCAACTGCTATCCTGAAAAAGACCCCTTTATCCCCACTCTTTGCCTTTTTGGCCAGTTAACTAATCTTCTATCCATGTTAGTGCCTTGCCCCTAACACCAAGGGCCCTTATTTAGCAACCTCCTGTGTGGCACCTTGTCAAAGGCTTTATGGAAATTCAAATAGATCATGTCCTCTGGCTCTCCTTTGTCTAACTTGCTCGTTACGTCCTCAAAGAATTCCAACAGATTCGTCAGGCATGACAGCTCCTTGACCAAGCTGTGCTGACTCAGCTCTATTTTACCATGTACCTCCAAGTGCTCCATAATCTCAAGCTTAATAATGGATGCTAAAATGTTACCAAACACTGAGATCAGGCTACCTATTATTTGCTTCGCTGCCTTCTGCCTCCCTTCTTTCTTTAACAGGGATATTACATTAGCCATTTTCCAGTCTTTGTCACCCTCCCTGATTCCTGTGATTCCTGAAAGATCACCACCAATGCCGCTACAGTTTTCTCAGCTATCTCCCTCAATCCAATTGATTTATCCACCTTTTAGACCTTTCAGCTTCTCCAGTGGTAGTCATTGCACTCACCTCTGTCCCCAACCCTCTTGAAGTTCTGGTATGCTGCTGGTGTCTTCCACTTTTGTTTTTGTTGTACATAATTGTAAGTAAACTTGTGCTTATTGCAGCAGAATTATTTGCTAGTCTCTCGACTGGGTAAACAGCTCAGTTGACCGTGAGAATGGTCAATGATGAGAAAGAACCATCTCTCCCAAAAATACAAATTTGCCTAGTACAAGGCAGTTGAAACTGTAGTGCATAAGCTATACCTGGGCTAGAAGCCAAGGTAGTATAAACATACTTTCACTTTCACTTCTTGTTAATTTGCCTTGGTTGAATGTTGTTGGCTGAAAGTTTGGATGCGGCTTATTGGTGGATGAATCTAAAATCGAAAAACCAGCTCTATTAGCATGTATCACTTCTTTCCTAAGTGTTTTTGGACAGACATTTGTATTGATTTTTTTATTTCCTTCAATTGAGTTGTACAAACTGCTTTCTTGATTTACCTCGAAGAACTAATTTGGATTCATCCAACCTTTCAAAGTCCATGTACACCAAATCATCAGCCTTGCCCCCTCGACCCTCTCTATGATCTTTTCAAAAATACTCCAAGTTAGTAAGACTTGATTTTCAATAATACGTGTGTTGACTCTTCCAAATTAACCCTTTTCTCCATGTGGTGATTAATCCTATTCTGAATAATTGTTTCCAGAAGTTTTCCCACCACAGAAGTTAAGCTGACTGGTCTGTAACTGCTGGACTTGGCTTTGAGCTTTTTTTAAACAAAGCTGTAATGTCACAACGCATGCAATTCTCCAGTCCTCTGGCACCATTCCAGAATCCAGAAAGATTTGAAGATCATTGTCAGTGCCTCTGCAATTTCCACTTTCAATTCCTTCAATATCCTGCATTGTTTAGTTCCCAGTGTTCTTATCAACTGCATTTAGTACCAGCTTATCATATACCATCTCCTTATCAATTTTAAATCCTTCTAGAGACTTTTGAAAGATTTATTTCATGGGATGTGGGAATTGTTGGCTGAACCAGTAATTATTACCCACCCCCAGTGACCCTTGAGAAGATGATGGTGAGCTGTCTATGAATGGCTGCAATCCATTTGCTGTAGGTAGACTTCAATGCTGTTAGGGATGGAATTCCAGGATTTTGACACAACAATGCTGAAGGAACAGCGGTCTGTTTCCAAGTCAAGATGGTGAGTAACTTGAAGGGGAACTTGTAGCTTGTGATATTCTCATGTGTCTTTTCTCCTTGTCCTTTTTGATGGCAGCGGGTGTGAGTTTGGATGGTGGTGTCTGAGGAAGCTTGATAAGTTATTGCAGTGCATCCTGTACATGGTGCACATTGTTCTGTTGAATGTCAGTGATTGATGGAGCTAAAGTTTGTGGAAGTGGTGCGAATCAGATGGGCTGCTGTGTCCTGAATGGTGTCAAGTTTGTTTGAATGCCGTTGGAGCTGCACTCATCTAGGAAAGTGGGGGGTATTCCATCACACTCCTTACTTGTGCGTTGTAGGTGGTGGACAGGCTTTGGGGAGTCAGGAATTACTTGCTGCCGGCTTCCTAGCTTCTGACCTGCCCTTGTAGCTACCTTTTTTAGGGGGCCATCCAGACCAGTTTCTGGTTAACAATGACTCCCAGAAGGTTCAGTAGGGGCAATTATGTGATATTAATCTAACTGAATGACAAGATTAGCAGGTGTTCGATTCTCTCTTGTTGGAGATGTCCGCTGCCAGGCAGTTGTGTGGCACGTGCTCCTTGCCACTTGTCAGGCCAAGCCTGGATCTTGTCCACGTCTTCTACATTTGCACGTGGACTGTTCTAGTATGTGAGGAATCACAAATGGTATTGCACATTATGCAATCATCTCCACTTGACCTTATGATGGAAGGGTGGTAGTTGGTGAAGCTACTGAAGATATTTGGGCCAAAGACACTACCTTGAAAAACTCCTGCACAAATGTTCTGGAGCTGAGCTGACTGACCTCCAACAGCCTCAACCATCTTCCTATGTGCCAGGTATGACTGCAAATAGTGTAGAGTTTTGCCCCTGACTCTTATTGATTCTAATTTTGCCAAGGCTCCTGATGCTATATTCTTTCAAATGTGACTTTGGTGTCACTGGTTTGACATTCTCACCTCACCTATGGAATTCAGCTCTTTTGTCCATGCTTTGACTGAGGCTATAAAGGGGGCTAGAGCTGAGTGACCCTGATGAGACCAAATCTGAATGTCAGCAAGTAGGTTATTGCTAAGCAAGTGATGCTTGATAGTACTTTTGATATCACCTTCCATCATTTTACTGATGATTGCCAGTGAACTGATGGGGCAGTAACTGACTTGGTTGGATTTGTCCTGCTTTCTATGTACAGGACATACCTTGCCAGTTTTACATATTTTCAGGTTGATGCCAGCGTGAGTTTCCTCTTATGTCTCTATGACTTGGGCAGCATTTGCCTCCTGGGTAAAGGTGCAAAGTATTCATTTAGCCCTTCAGTTATGCTGCTTGCTTTCATATGTAAGTTCCCTTTTTGGATGTAAATTCCCTTTTTGGTCCCTAATTGGCCCTATTCCTCTTCTTTCACCATCATTTCTTTGTTTATGTGACTATAGAATAGTTTGGTATCTACCATATCAGGAAATCCCAATCATTTTTTCATTATCTGTCTTTGCTTTTCTTATGCATTTTCACCTCCCTTCTGAACCTTCTGCATTCACTTTTGTTCTCAATTGTATTTTCTCCTGGACACTTGTCATAAACATCTGGTTCCTTCTTTAACTTAGTTTCTATCTCCTTCATCTTCCAGGGAACTCTGGATTGGTTTGCCCTACCTTTTTTCATTTTCAGAGAGTATACCTTGGTTGTGCCTAATACACCTCCTCTTTAAAGGTAGCCTATTGCTCAGCATCTACTTTTCCTACCAACCTTTTGTTCCAGTCTGTCTGGTCCAGCTCTGTCCTTGCACCACTGAAGCCAACTCTCCGCTAGTTGATTATTCTTATTGGGGATTATTGATTGCAATTTTCCACCATCATCCAAAACCTTATGACACAATGATCACTGACACCTAAATGTTCCCCCACTGTCACTTGATCTAACTGATCCACCTCAGTCCTAAGAACCAGGTGTAGCAGTGCCACTTGTCTTGTTTGGTTAGACACAGGTTGCTTTAGAAAATTCTCTTGAACACAATTGTTGAACGATTGCCTCTTGCTGTCCTTTACAGTATCACTATCCCAGTCTATAGTCAGGTCGTTAACGCCTCCTAATACAGCTACTCTCATTTGCACATGTTTGTAATTCCTTTGCAGATATGTTCCTCTGCATAATTCCCACTAGTGTGTGGTGTATAGTTTGTACTAAGCAGAGGCAGAGAGACTTGGGTACATATATATGTAACTCATTAAAGATGGCAGGATGGCAAGAAAGGACAGTTAATAAAGCATACTAGGCTTCATAAATAGGGGCATGGAGCATAAGAACAGGAAGGTTATGATGAACTTGTATAAGACACTGAATAGATGTCAGTTGAAGTATTGTGTACAGTTCTGCTGCTCTATAGAATGGATGTGAATGCATTGGAGAGATCGCAAAAGTGCTTTACCAGAATGGTTGCAAGGTTAAATCATGAAGAAAAATTAGCAAATTTGGGACTGTTTTCATTGGTGAGGATGTGTCTTTGAGGAGACACATGCTCAGAACTGGTGCAGACATGATGGGCCAAGTGCCCTCTTTTCTGCCTTGGAACACTGATTCTGTACGTCTGAACCATTTAATGCTTTGTATAGTTTAATCAATCTCTTTGGCCACCCTTTTCCTCAACTGTAAAGCTTATACATCTGTAATGTTTTCTTGGAACTTATCCTGTTTTTACTGATAACCATGTGTGATTGATATTCCTGTGCTCTTTCTATTGCAAATGTAGCTTATTCCTTATAATTCCCTGTCATGTTTTGCATTAAAGCTGATTAGTACAGTAATTATCTTTAAATGGCAATATTACAATTATGTTGAAAGGTAGATACAAAGGCATGTTGAATGACTCGATAATTTGAATAAATATACTTGAATTCATAAGGTAAATGGTAGTTCTGTCAGCATAATGTCTGAATTCTTGAACCATTCACTTCTTAGCACTTTGTGATTTTCTTAAATTATTTAATTGTTTTCCATAGTTTACTTTGCATAGACTTGCATTCTCCTGGCTGACCTCTGCTATTTTGATGTGTTGATTTACAGCAGAAACTGTCCAATCTGTTTGTTAATCTGACAGTACATGAAATGAACTGACCAGCAATATGCTGTGGAACATAATCTCTTGTCTTCCACAAAGCCATCAATGCCTCTTCGGCAACATGTGGTGAATTTGTCGAAGCAGTACTTCATGCTTGCTGTCTTTTTAACAAAGGCTAAAATTTTATTGTGTAATGATCAACTGGTGCTCATCATCTTTGATGGGATCAAAGGTAAACCATGTTGCCAAGTCACTGAATTTTTTTCAGACATAGGTACTGTTCCTCAGTATTCATTAATCAGCCTGATTCAGTAATGGGTTTTGGACCTCAATGGACCTGGCATTTTGACTACTCTGCATCAAACAACCGTGTACAGCAACCTGTAATGTATTGTGTGATCCTGCCCTGACGAGAAACAAATTGTTTAACAGATGTTTGGAGCTAATTTGCAGTTTTAAACATTGTAGACCCCTGTTGACACTTGAACTATGGCTGTGATGAACCCTATTTTGTGAACTTGGAACCAGTGAGATGTTTCAAACAAATGCTCCTTGTGTGGCTTTTTCAGTAACTGTTAAACATGATAGGTTTCTGAATGATGTTGCCAGGACAATTGGGATGACAGGTTTTCCCAAATTCAACAATTATATCAAGATATAAAGGGCTCTTGCAGAGCAGTGGTAATGTCCCCACTACTGAATGAAGAGATCCAGGTTCAAGTCCCTCTTGCTCCACAGGTGTGTCTTAGCACCTCTGAATAGGTTGATTAGAAATATCTGTCTTGAAATGACGACAGTAATAATGACCCCAGAGGTTCTGTCCAAATGATTGGCGAACTGGAGTCATGCAACTTTGCAACTCTGCAAATATTTTCCCCAAGTTGATGTTAGGTCTTCAAAATCATTAGAAAGTGGACATCCAGAAGAATGAAGAGGAGTATTGTAGAGCATAACATTGAAACCTCAGAACCTGCTAGATTATTCTGGTATAAAATCTTGAATGAATAATACAAATCTGTAGAGAATGTAAGCATATTTGACAGCAAAAACGCTGAGCTACATTTCAGAATGGAGTAAGGCTGGTATGGCGGAGTCCACATTTACTGTTCAGTGGAAAGGAAAAACCGCTTTAGAGCAAGACTGGCAAATAGCCTGAGACCTGCTCCCTACCCAGGTTATCCTCATCATTACAAACTACAAAGGTGACAAGCTCAGGAATTGCTTCTTATTGGCCAAGAGAGTAATTTGGTACGTTGAAGCAAAGATATGTTTATGTCAGTGAATAATCAGATTTCTCTACAAAACAGTAGTTAGATACTCCCAGTTTTAGTTAAGCAATGACATCAACTGAAACTAAACTAAACTTCAAGATTAATTCCAAAACAAGCACCTTACACTGTACTACTACCCCTTCCAAATGTGTATGTTTTTATTGTTATATCAGTGTGGTATAAAAGCTGCTAACAGCTTTATTTTCTTGAAAACTGCCAATTACTATTTGAAGTCTCTTAGTACATAGCAAAACAAATAAAAGGATTTTTTTAAAAACATACCTTGCATTAGAAGCAAATAAATTAAGTGATAGCAAAATGAAGACAAGTAGTTTGTGTTATAATATTCTGATTACTGTTTAAGGCCTTGAAGCTTTAAATATTTTAATCATTCGTGTGAAATTCCTTTTCAGAACAAAGCAGAAGGGATGATTTAGAAGCGTTAGGTCACATGTTCATGTATTTCCTCCGTGGCAGTCTTCCTTGGCAGGGCCTTAAGGCAAGTTTATTTCCCCTCCACTCTGCGTTTCAAATCTGCTAATTATTGATGAGCATTGTCTTGATTAATGACACTGATTTCACTTTCATTTCCAGGCAGACACATTAAAAGAAAGATATCAGAAGATTGGGGACACCAAGCGAGCAACACCAGTTGAAGTGTTATGTGAAAACTTTCCAGGTAATTTTTCAATCATTGAGTAGATCCAGAGATTCTCAAGTTTCTAATGTCTATATCTGTTTCTGCCATTTGAATTCATTATTGTTTATCTTCTGCCATGAGAGACCATTATTGCACAGCAATATGCAAGGTTCACAAGGTACCTGACAAGTAATTATTAGGATTGGGGTATCATCGCTATCCTTTATAAGGAAGATGAGGGAAGTAACATCATGCTGTTTTAATGTTAGTATTTGTATGCATTCAGATCTGATTTTTCGTAGTTGTTGAGGTCAAGTTTAATGGTAAATTGTTTTTCTACTGATCTGGCATCAGTACCCGCAGATGGTTAGAATTTATGCTGCTGATGGGATCTGCAGCTGAATATGATGGGTTTAAAACTTCTAAGGGCTGTCTAAATTGTTAATTACCTTTGCATTTATGATACTGCAAGGCACACAGCTTGAGCATGAATACATTGAGATTTGCAGTACATTTCAAAAGAAAATGAGTGGAGAGAATGCCCAGGTTATGAAGTAAAAACAGTAAGAGTCTATTATGCCCAAGTTTTAAACCTTAAGACAAAGATGAGGAGAATTTTTTCTTTTTAGTTGGGTTTTGCATTATTCAGCTCATGTGATGCGCTTCAGTTATATTTCCTTCTTTCATTTGATTCTGAAAGCAGTACGTTACATTGAATGGAGCAGGGGCTCATGGATGTGAGGTGACCCCCACAACTCATCTTCATGGTGATTCTTTCCATATGAGCCATGAAATGAGTGGAGCTAATTATTTTTATGGAATTATGTCAGCTTCTTTGATGGGCACTCGAGAAATACCGTGTAAGCTCTGAAGACTATTAATTCATTATCCCTACACTGGAAAACCTTTTAAACAACACATGTATATTTTGCATGACTTTGTTTTGTTTGTTAATGGGGTATGCGCTCGACTGCAAGGCCAGAATTTATTAACGAGCCTAAATGCCTTTGAAAAGTTGGTGGTGAGCTGTCTTCTGGAACTGCATAGTCCATTTAATGTTTGCACACCCACAGTTCTGTCAGCAAGGGAGATTCAGGTGCTTCACACAGATAGTGAATATTTGTATGGTTATAGATACTTTTCCAAGCTTGAGACTTGGAAGGGAACCTACATGTTGTTGGTGTTCCTTTACATCTACTGCTGGCCTCTTTCGATATGATTGAGGTTAAGAGTTTGGAAGGTGCTGTTGAAAGAGGTTTGAAATGTTGCTACACAGTGGATCTTGGTGTATGTTGTAGATGGTACATGCTACTACCACTGTGTGAGGTAGTAAAGGGAGTATACATATAAGGTCTTTGGTGTGCAAATCAAGTGGTTTGCTTTGTCCTAGATAGGGTTGAGTCTTATGAGTGTAGTCAAGCTGCACCCATTCAGGCGAGTCAGGAATATTCCATCATATTCTTAACTTATACCTTGTAGCTGATGAGAAAGGTTTGGGGTCTTAGGGAGTTAAATTTTTCACTATAGAATTCTGAATTTGTGAGCTACATATAGCCACAGTAATCATATTGCAGGTACAGTCAGTTTCTGGTTAATGGTAACCCCCAGGATGTTGAAAGTAGGGAATTCAGTGATGGTGATGCCTTTGAATATGAAGGGGCAACTTGAACAGGGAATACATTATTGTGGATTATTATTACTTTCGGCTCCACAATTGGTTATAAGCTACCTCACCTAGGTCCACCTCTGGATCACCTGACCTGTTTGCTTAAACGGAGTTGGGTTGCATGCACCCAGCTAACATACATAACACCCCGCCCTTTTTATTTCGATACCCCCTTTAACAATATTTAAACTGCTAACAGTTATAGATACTAAACAGGCATTGTAGCTAATGTACAATTCTGATCATCCTTCCATAGGAAGGATGTCATTAAACTAGAAGGGGAGCAAAAAAGATTTGCAAGGATGTTAATGAGACTAATTTTCTTTTACATCAGTGGTACAAATGAAAACCATGTCAGGAATCTTAGTTGCCATATTAGTGCAATCTCCTCAAAATCACATATGCTTCCTTGATATTGTCACCTAAAATCGAGATAAGTTATAAAATTTCTATCAGCGAAGTTTCCATGATCACTTGTCTATATTTCCTGTAAATCATTCTCGGGAGCAGATAAATGGTCATGCGTTTCTTGTTGGAATTGTTTGGACTTTTTTTTTAAACGATGAACATTACATTCTCAAACTTCTGAAAACAACATAACGTTTGAGGCACCTGGCAGCGTGATAGTTTTAAGGTTGAGAGACTTCATGTATTTGGTTAATTTTGTCACGTTGGAAATGTTGGGAGGAGGAAAGATTAAGATAATTATTTTAAGTGAAGGAAAGTGCTTGCTGTCAGCAGTTTACAGCGCAACATAGATATATCATTGAATTATGCCATTTATAATATGAAGTGGTTAGAAACTATATAATGCTTTGATTAATTTGTGCAGCTGTGGTTTTATATGCCCTCTCGATTTGTTTTAGTCATATGCTTTAATATGCTGTTTAATGCAGTTTTAAAATAGGATGCATTTGCAGTAGGCTCAAAAAAGTGCAGACAGCTGTTTACCCTTGCCTTTCAATTCATATTTGATTACTTTGAGCTCAGGCTGCTTTTGGCTACCTGACCTTCTAGGTTTGGCTTCTTCACTCATCCTGAATTAATAATCTTTAGTTAGAACACTAGTGAGCTGTTTTCTGAAAAACTTAATTTCCAAAGTATTTGCAACTGCAAACACAATTTTCTGAACTTAATGTGAAAACTGTTTGTGGCAATATTTGGCAGAATGAAATTAACATTTAAAATCCTTCGATGAGAGAATAGAGTAAACCAAAACCAAACTTCGAGCAAATAAAGTTCTTCACGAAAATGCCAAAATAACCTGAAGTATCTTAAAACTGCTTTGGTTTCCTTTTCCCTACATCGCAGAAAACATTGAACAGGACAGTATAATAACTCTAAATGAACTTTTGAAATATTTTGTATTTTCAGAAGAAATGGCTACATACTTGCGTTACGTAAGAAGGCTGGACTTTTTTGAGAAACCAGACTATGACTACCTAAGAAAGCTCTTCACAGACTTATTCGATAAGAAGGGTTACATGTTCGATTATGAGTATGACTGGATTGGCAAACAGCTTGTAAGACTAAAAATTCACTTATGTTTTTTTGGTCACGTGAATATAACTATTGCAAAAGCAAAATGCAGCAGGTACCTCTGGTATTTCTAAATGCGATTGGCAATCTTGATGAAATGTTCTTGACCTCTGCAACTTTTTTTGTGATAAAAAGTGTAACATGTTTTTTTATAATGTAAAGCCTAAGAAAATATAAATCTCTTTCTGGATATGCACAGGTGATGTTGGCCAAGGGAAAACTTGAATTCAAATTGAAATTGAAGGCTTTCTGCACCATGTTCTAAAAATCAGAATGTTGATTATTCTCTTGGGTCCATCATGGCTTAGCAAATGTAATTGTGACGCGATGCTCATAATGATACATGCATAATTCTTGATCTGTTCTTTGATAACTGATCTCAGACAGGACAAGAGAGGAGTTATAGTTAAAGGTTTCAGCACCCTCAGTCAGAGATTTTGTGCTCCTAATTGCTGTCAGATGATCTCTGTTGGAAATATGTTTGTGGATGTTTGGTAAGGGCAGGGTTTGGTTATGCTGTGATCTCCCTGGCAGTCAAGTTTTCTCCAACATTCGCTATCAAGTTCAATTCCAAAATAAATGATTCTTTGGATGTGTTGCATGAGGGCCCAGAGCCCATGTGACCCATCAAATAAGAGGAGAGTGGAATAAAACAAGAAGGAATGGATTATTATTTCACTGCAGTCATGTATCAGTCCACTGGTTGACTGGTGCAGCAAAAATCCATCGCATTGCTTACAAAACTCCAATCCAAGCTCCTGAGAAATCTTTAGAGTTTTGTTCACCTTAAGTTGGATGTGTGTACACCCTCTTTACCTGTAGCTATACCTTCCTTACTTTTGTCCAGTGAATTTAGGTGAAGATTCACATACTCCGAGGTTTGGGGGCCCTTAACTGTCTACAGAATTACTCTTACACCTTAACTAGCTAAAACAAACAAAGGTTTCGAATACAGAGCATAGGTAAGCATTCTGTTGCTGTCTAGCAAGGTTCAGTTTTGCATAAGGTGGAATTAGTTAACAGGGTTATCTAGATTTGAATGGTGCCAGTTATTCATTATACATCTAGTGCCATTAATAGGCAAGGCTATCTACCCAATTGCCAATGCTTCCTGAGCGCAGCAGAGCTAGTTGTGTCAGTTTTAACTTTACACCACTAGTTGAGTCCTTATAAATCCAATTCAAACCAAATGACATCATACTTAGCTTTACATTGTATGAAGTTTCCATAATGCAGACAATGCACATGCATAATTGAACATTTTAATTGCCCATCGTAGCTTTGGAAATGAAATGCTGTAACAGTGAGTTGGTTTCCTTGTTCAAAATCTCAAGCCCATGGTGCAATTCATTACTTTGGTTAATGTTTACCTGAGATTGTGTGGAATGGAAATTGATTCCAGATGCTCTCATTGTAATACATGCTGCCAATACTGCAGAATACATTTTTCACCCTTTACAGTATTTTATACTGTTTTGTCCACAGTACATTTGGGTGAATGGACAATTTAGGAGTTTTGACACAATGATCTCAATAAATTAATTTTCTATTCTGTGATTACTTGGAAAACTAATCCTCTTTTGGAGAATATTTGAGATTCCTAGATTAGTGCAAATGATGTTTTTCTGTCATTGGTCACAGTGTATTTTCACTAATACCTGTCCAAATGATTGTCCTGCACAGTCCATCCATCCATTTTCCTCTATTCTTTTTCCTCCATTGCCCTGCTCTGGAATTTCCATTCTCCCACCTATAACAACATGTCCAGCGCATCTCCAGCATGAAAAAATATGAAAATGGAAGAGCATGATTAAATATTTCAATTCTGTTCGTGAATGTAAAGAATTTTTTCTTTAATTACAGCCCACTCCAGTTGGTTCAATTCATACAGATAGTGCTCTGACTGGAATGAATAGAGAGAATCATCAGCACAGGGATAGAACACAGCAAGCCAAAAATCAGGTAGGTCTGCAAGTGACATTGTGAGCCATGTTCCTATTTGCAATAAAAGTTTTTGAGTTGCTTCCAGAAAATGCAGGTGCTTTTATGCTGCTTTGAGATTTAATAGTGTGTTGGGATTGTTAACTTCTAGCTTGTGTCTTTTGAGTAACTGGTAACAACTGAAGGAAACGTGCTGGCTTTGTTGCAGTCAGAAGTAAAATTTTCCTACTGTTGGCCTTTGAAATCTGGCAACTTTACATTCATGTTATTGTTGATATCATAAGGTTTGCATGTTGACAGCTGACACCAGAAGGATGGGTTGCACTAAGCAGTTTGAAACTGAAAGAGTTAACAATTCAGTTAAAACAGTTACCCAGCCATACAGCAGTTGAATGATCTGAAACCTGCCCTCATTGTTAACATGCAGTAATAAACCCGACATTTTTAGTTAGCTTAGAAATTGCTAAAGTTCTCATTAACTGGTGTCGGACTCAGATCAGCTGATAAGAGTTTCTGCCTTTCACAGCCGATGTTTGAATTCAGTCCACTGCTCCCACAGCAAGTCACGGACTGAAAAATAATTTCTTCTTGCACAATACAGACATAAGTATTGCAATGTTTATCTTTGGAAAGCAAGCAAGTTCCGTCTTGTTGGCTGATGCTGAACTATAATTTGACCTTTTGACAACCTATCCTCCCTTCCTCGAGCATGTTTTATATTTTAATTTTCCAACAAATATGAAGTAATATGAGTATAGAAAATGTCTGTGTGTGTGCATAATATCTACGACCATTTATTATGGTCTGATTGTGGGCTTAAAGATTGCCGAAAGCAGTGGGGGAGGGTGAGGAATGCAGGAAAGTATTGGACCTAGTGAAAGGTAGGAGTCACCTGTTTACTGACTGTAGTGGCAACTGTTGTTACTTTTTGGATGAAATTTCCAAGCAGGAGTTTTTTTATGTGAAAGCAATTAGTAAATTGGGATATGCCACCAAAGTAGCAAGTTTTTATTTTTCACTTACACCAAGACTTGTCCACTCTGAGTACATTTGGTACCATGCGCAGCATTTTGTTTATAGACAGATAGTCTTTGTTATACTGCCCCTCAGCTATTTACTGAAGTAAGTGTCAGTGTGTATTCCACAATTGTTTATTTGCATTTCAAAGTTCAATGCAAACCCTCTCCTGAAGTGACTCCCTTGCTGGAGAAAACCAGTCCTTGATATTTTCTAATCAACCTGCCAGAGATCTTATTTTCATACCGGCCTGGAGTGGGTGAGACTTTGACCCTGAGCATTCTATCTCAGAGCTAGAGGCACTACCATTGCACCACAGGAGCCCTGGAAAACTAGCTCTTCTCTTTCAATCCATCCTTTCTAGATATCTCACTCACTCTGTTCAGATATGTTGTGACATACATCTGGAGCAGGTGGGATTGAACCCAGACCTTCTATCCCTACATAGAGGGACATTATCGCTGCACCATACGAGCCCTCCGAAAACCAGCCATACCTTTCTGTGCAAAAGCCAGTCCTTTTCAAATCACCCTGTTCAGAGATGTTATTACACACCTCTGGAGCAGATGGGACTTGAATTCAGGCCTCCTGGCTCATTCACTGCAGTGCAAGTGTGAAAGCCAGCCATTTATTTTACATTGTTCAATTCAGGGCAATCCTTGCACTTGTAGAGATTTTCCTAATCGATTCTTCAGCGATGAGACGTTATCACACATTTCTAGAGCTGGTGGGACTTGAACCCAGGCCTCCTGTTTAAGAGGTAAGGACACCACTTTTCCTCATTTTGTTTTTCTTTTTTTCTAATGAGCCAGTTCAGAGATGTTATTATGCACCACTGCAGCAGGTGGGACCCGCACCCAGGTTTTCCGGCCCAGGGGCAAGGACATTACTGCTACGCCACAAGAGTCCTGAAAGCTAGCCCTTTTCTTTTCTCTATAACATCCATGCAGCCAATCGGATGTTTACATGCAAAGCCCACTATAGGCAATGTGAACCATCAAAAGTGTGGGGGTGAGTTCATTTCTAAAAGACCATAATTTACAGCTTTGTCACCCTTGAGCTGAATTTTGACAGTAATTTTCTATCCAAGTGACAGTTTGGAATAGAGGTTAATTATCATCTACATGACAAGCAGTAAGTGACATGAGCACATTATTTGAGTTTGATATTTGGTTGTGACTCTTAAACTTGGGAACATAGTCAAACTTCTGCTTCTTAGGCAGCCGGGTCAGTGTGAGATAAACCTTTCGGAGGTGTTTGCAGAAGAAAAGGTTAATTTGTGGTTTTCTAAAATCTTTTTAAGATTCACAATCTTATAATTACTTTGTTGTGTTGCATATGTTATTATTTCTGTGGTTATATATTCAGCTGGATCCAGTTGAAGGAATTAATGCCATCTAGATTAAATTTCAGGTTTTTGAAATGTTTGTGTTTCTGTACCGTGTTTGCTGTATTACATTTTGGTGAATAAACTTGCCCAATTTTTTTTTAATTAGGTGAGCCAAGGACAGATTTAGTGGATTACTCACACGTTTAATTTATTAAACATATACATGTTGTAATTATTTAGTAACAAATGCTTAGGAGGTGTCTGCAAGTGGAAGGAAGAAGTCTGTAAAAGCAATGTGAGCCTTTCAACTTGTTCACATAGCAGATACTTCAGCATGATGCAGAGATAGAGTGTGTGTCTGTGTAGTGTGTGTGTGTGTATGAACCATGTCTTGACAAAAAACATCACATATTTATATGACTATACCAAAAATCCCTGAATAATATTCTTAACATTTCGACCTTTTCACTTCAGGTGCTGATTCCCTTCAAAAATAGCAATAACTCTACCTGTTAAATCAGGCAGTTTTTTTTTAAAAAAACAGCGATGAACAAAATACTGCAGTGATTAAGGGGAGAAAATAAAGCATTACTGGGCTTCTAGTCTGTTTATGTAGCTTTTAATCTACCATTATTATGAAAGACTAGGCAGATAATTATTCTCTTGCTTTAATCTGATGCTGTTATGGTAACACTTTTTTTTTTTCTTTCAATAACGCAAACTCATGTTCACTGCAAAAAAACAGTAACTGTGAACCGAAACTTTCTAATAAAAAGTTACGTTAATCAGCCATGTGCCGGAGTTTAACAAGCCTGATTAGTTTAAAAAGCAAGGGCTAAGTAGCGCTGGTACCTTTGAACACTGATAAAATAAACAATAATGTAAAAGCACACTGGTAGCCATCTATCGATTATGTTGTAACCCTCCTGTCCTGTTGAGACCAGGCATTTGTTTGAGGGTCAGATTTTAGACTTTGCAATATTGCTGAAGTGGCAATCCAATCATGGGTGGTGCCTTGCGTAGTTTTTGCTGTCTAAGGGGGAAGAACATTCCCTGAGAACTTGACTAAAGGTTAAGTAGAATCCACATCAGAAAAGCTGTCTGTTGTTTAAGTTTTTGAGAAGCAAGTGCAGGTGACTGTAAGCAAGAAAAAAGAAAGCTCTGAATTGAAAAGTCTTCAGAGAACGCAAGATTCTGGGGTACAGCGGATCTGTGTGTCCTGGTACATGAACCACACAAACTTAATATATAGGTACAAGCAGGTGATATGATCACATATGTATAATTGTACAGTACATTAAGAAGGCAGGTGGAACATTGTCATTTATTACAAGGGATTGGAATTAGAAAAGTAGCCATGTTTTGCTACAGTTTTCCATGGCATTGTTGAGACCACATCTAATGTGCTGTGTACAGTTTGACTTCCTTATTTAGGAAAGGATATAAATGTATCAGAAGTAATCATGAAAATCCTCTCTTGACTGATACCTGAGTTGGAGGGGAAGTTCTCTTCTGGGGAAAGGTTCAACATGCTGGACTGGTATCCACTGAAATTTAGAAGAGTAAGCAGTATTTTTATTGAAACATATAATACCGTGAGAGGACTTGACAAGTTGCATGCTGAAAGGATGTTTCCCATTGTGGATGAGACCTGAAGTAGGACCCACAGTTTTAAGTTCCTTTATTTGTAAACCTCTTTTCTGTCCAAGGTTTAAGTGTCTTTGAAACTGTCTTCCCTGGAGAGCCACGGAAACATCGAAGAGTTTAAAGGTAGAGGCAAGTAGTTTCTTGACTAACAAGGGAGTCTCTTGTTATTGTGGTGGTTTTGGGAATGTGGAGTTTTGGCTGTAATCAGGTCAACCGTGATCTTAATAAAGGCAAAAAAAGATCAAAGGGCAGAATGCGTATTTTTGTTTCTAGTGTTCATACTTCCATGCTGTTGTGTTTAGGGAATCCCTAGAACCAGTGTGGTTCAGTCAACAGATCACGGCCTAGCTACAGAATAGAGGCACTTTTATGGCCAGTTGAAATTGGAGCCATGCTTTATAATTTTGCTTTGGTCTGCAGTATCTCATGCGAATGATATAGCATAGAATATCAAACATGAAGCAAATGTGTCAGGATAGTGTAGTTAGCAGGTGGGAACATGAGATATTGGCTCGTAATTTGTAGTTAGCCGCAAATGATGGTCCTCAGTAGTGTGATTGCTATGGGAGATCAGGCAGTCTCTGTGCCAAGAACTTTAACTCTCAATGTGTAATTGATTGCAGTGCAGTTTAATGAGGATTCCGAGCATTGAGCAGCAGTGAGGGTGCCAAGATGTCCAAGCACCCAATCTGATTAAAGTATTCTCACGGCAAACCAAGAAACGAAAAATACAAATAGTGAAATCACTTCCAAAAGATTTTACATGGTGTGGAACAAAAGTGGAGATATACACACAGGGTTAGCACAGAAGGTGGAATATCATGAGCAAACTTTTTCAATTTATTACAGAAATCTAGCATTTAATCATAATGGTGACATTTAGCAACATTATTGCAAACATAAATTATTTTCTCAGTATCGAGTAAGTTAGTCATCAATAGCAGCAGCAATGACTCACTAACGAGTTCCACCTAGGAAATTCTGTCTGACTGGTCATGGGTTCTGTGGGTCCTTGATTGGCTGATGAGCCCAATTCAAGAGTTATGCATCCAACTACACATTTTATAAGTGTTTCCAGGAGATGGAGGTGATCCTTGACCTTGAAATCATTGTCATTCCTTTCTCCTTTTCCTTTTCCATACTTCCCCTTATGAAAGGATGTTCTCAAAGAGTTATGTTCCTTAATGCAGGAGTTGCCTCTAAGTCGGTTTCTTCTGAACAAGGGTCTCCCATGTGTTGACATCTGTGTTGCATTTCTTGAGGGAAGCCTTCAGGCAACCTTTGAAACACTTCCTTTGTCCTCCAGTGGTTTGAGTACCTTCCTTGAGCTGGGCGAAGATAATTTGCTTTGGTTGTCAGAACCTGGACATCCTAAGCACATGGCCAGCCCACAGGAGTTCTTTTCAGATGATCGTGATCTTGATGCTGGTGCTGTTAGCTGCTTCAAGGATGCTGATGTTAGTACGCCCAACACTCCCAGCTGATGTGGAGAATACGTCCCAAACAGAATTGATGTACTTCTCAAGAAACTTGAGGTGGCATGTACATGTAGTCCAGGTTTTGGAGCCATATAGAAGAGTCGGAAAGGTGACTGCCTTATGCAGCATGGGATCAGCATGAGTGTTATGGTTAGCCAAGTGTTTCATCATTGGGTGTCTGAAGACAGTGCCCACAGAATGAATATTGAATCTCTGCATCGATATCAGCCTTAGATCTGAGGTAGCTTCCCAGGTTAGGGAAATGCTTCAGTTTGGGAGGATTTCTCCATTGATCTTAATGAAAAGATGTATCAGAACATAACCTGGGACTCTGGGTTGGAAAAGGATTTGAGTCGTCTTGAGGTTGAGGCTGAGGTCAATTCTTCCTCAAAGGGATTAAGGCATTGAGGATTATGTTCTGATAGAGCAGAGATGACACTGTCATCTGCATTCTGAAGTTCCTCAAGTGAGATCACTGTTGTTTACTTCTTGGATTTCAACCGGTTGAAGTTGAGAAGTGTCTACAGTATGGACAGAAAAATGGCTACATCACTGGGAAGCTTGTTCTTGACAAGATGAAGAAAGATGGCAGTGAAGACAGATAAAAGAGTGGGGGTGATGACACATCCTTGCTTGACCTCAAAGGATCCTGTCATTTGCTGTCAGTGAGGACTGTTGCAGACATTTTGTTGTGGAGGGCATTGATGAATTTCACTGGACATCTGGCCTTAGACAGGATCTTCCATAGCACTTCCCAATTGACTGGATGTTCAGGTCGATGAAGGCCACGTAGATTGGTTGCTTTTGTTGCTGGCAATTTTCTTGGCGTTGCCGAGCAGTGAAAATTTATGTCCCATAGTTCCATGGTTTGATCAGAGCCACACTGGCTTTCAGAAAGCATTTCCTCAGAGACTGGGAGAAGGGAACTAATGGGGATTTGGATGATGGTGTTCCTAGTGATGGAGGGTAGGGAGATTCCTTGGTAATTCCCACAGCCCACTTTGTCTCCTGTCTTGAAGACAGTGGTGATGGCAGCATCCCTGAGATTGGCAAGGATTTCTTCTTTGTCGCAGATTTTCAGGAACAGTTGATGGAGATGACGGGTGAGCTCTGGTCCTCCAAGTTTCAATATCTCCCCTAGAACCCTGTCTGCTTCTGCAGCTTTTCCATTCTTCATGTGTCTTACGGCATCTTCAATTTCTACCCACTAGTTAGGAGTCCAAGATCATCATTGATGGGAAATTGGGGGATTTCCCCTTTGATGATTGTATTGTGGTTTAGGA